GCTGGCCTTGCAGAAGCAGGGCACCTCCAGTCGTAAATCTGGGAGCGATAGATGAGCCTTTCTGTGCCGTTCAGAATGTGCTTGTGCCGTTCATATCTGAAGCGTAGAATCCGTGTACTCGATTCCAATTTTGGTTTTGTGCCTTGATTCCCAAAATACCAACGCTTCCGGGAATCCTGCTTTCAGTTTTTGAGAGGTGGGAACGTGGCAACGTCAGTGGGCTTCTCCATGAATGTTTGGACCAGTGCTCTTCTTAGCAAAATCAGGCAGTTAAACATAGTCAATTGAGTCGTTTCAGCTATGTTAAACTGGCAGATCAGGCCACGCGCACCAGGTTCACCTTTTCTTGCTTTCTCTTTACTGAGGTGGCATCGCCTCTCCGCAAAGCACAAGCAGAAGGTCGGATTGGATGCGATGCACGGCCTTTGCTGTTCCCTTTGAAGCTCTGGAAGCGGTTGTGCGATGCTGCATCAGGAGCGCCTCATTCAGCGTGGCCTTTTGGCCTGGGAGTCTAAGACTGGCGTCTTTAGCTCAAAGAGACTGGCAACAATCTGTTTCAATTCTTGTTACTACTAGTAACAAGTGCCTCGCTAGTAGTAACAGGTGCCTTACTAGTAGTAACAAAAAGCTATTATTTTAGTTTATTGTTTAACTTAATTCTAATAACTTCTTGTTACTACTAGTAAGGCACTTGTTACTAGTAGCGATGCACTTGTTCCTACTAGCTTCTTGCTACTTGTTCTGTGTCGTTAGGGCGGTATTTTTCTGCACTCCTAAGGTGGGATTGCAGGCGACCTTTTGGAAGCTTTGGAAGGACCTGGCAGCCGTTTGGGTCCTTGGCGCTCATCGAAGTCATTCTATTTGGCACTCATTCGTTTGGCTTAATTACTAGTAGCTTCTTGTCACTAGTACTACTTGCGATGGCCTCCACCTAATACTCATGGTGTTTCCATCTCTGACCTGTTTGCCAAGGCAAAGATCAAAGAGCGCAACAAGAAGCCGTGGCCTCGGGGGCTCAGCTCGGGCATAGCCTTGGCATCACACTGCAGATTAAACGTTTGAAGCTTGGGACATGTCGGTGAGATGAGACATTGGGTTTGCAAGGCGCAGCGAGGAGGCCGTGCATCTTGCTGTGCAAAAGCGTGGAGCCAAGCAGCTTTCAAGACTAGGTGTTTCTTTGTTTCTAGTAGCTTCTTGCTCCTAGTAGAAAGGCCAGGAGCCCCTAGTAGCGTCCTTGCTCCTAGTAGCGATGCCCTTTGTTATATACTAGTAGCTATTCAAGACTCTTGTTTGTCCAATTGAAGGCTTTGAGGGGGCAGCTAGTAGGTTGGAGGCCATCGCTCTCGGGGAGTCACTAGAGGTCTTTCGCCATGTGCAAAGCGCATGGTAGGTGTGCCATGTCACTTCCAGCACAGTTGCGCAAATCAATTGGAGACGAGTGTGGCTCAATGCGTTTATGGTGTTCCCCGATGGTCCCCAGAACCCATTTAAGCCATGAGGCCATACCGGCCATACCCTTTCTTCAACAACAACAACAGCCAGACTATTTTGACAACTGCTCTCAGAGCTGAAAGGTGAACTGTGCACAGATAGGTTTGGTTTCGAAGTTGAGACTCGATGAGCTTCGAACGTCCTGCGCCATGTCGAAATTCATTAAGCGACATGAGGAGATCGTTTCTGCACGCTGCCAAGCGCGCCAAGCTGCGCGAGCAGGGAGCGGTGTTGGATTCACAGAGGCAGGCTTTAGACAGCGAAAGGGAAACATCAAAAATATGTGAAGGGGTTGAGGATGGAAGCTCCCTGTGATATACCGTAATTACTTGTTGCACTTGTTTAACCACCTACCTTTGAAAAGGCAACAAGGGTGGACAAAACTCAGAGAGAGAGAGAGAGAGATTTAAGATCCTTTGGGTAAAGCTAACTGGTTCCAGGCGGAGCTAGAGGCGGCACAATGGGCTCGGAAGCTGCCCGAAGTTCAAATGCAGATTTCTCGGAGGAGAATGAAACGTGTTCCTACAGTTTATGGATCAAGTTGTTTCATGCGTTAATCGCACTAAAGATACCCGATGACACCTCGGAGATCTTTCGGTTGCTGTTCCTATATACCCCTTTGCAAAATCTTTGGGATGAGGCATGCCAAACTTGAACACTAAGGATCCCAATTGGACTTTCCAATTGAACTTTCTTTTGGATTCTTTGGTCACGCTTCGCTGTAGAGGGTAGCTTGCCTTGGACTTGTCAGCTCGCTAGTCAGTCACTAGTCAACCTAGCTCGGATGTCAAGTACTCCTTAAGGATCGTCACACTGATGCTGCAACTGACTGCAGCTTTCTTTTGAGAAGCCTTGCATGTGATTTCCTGTTCGCAAACGCGTACTTGCAACAGTTCACAACTCTCAACCCCGAGTGCACGTCATGCCGCGACATGCGAGTCACTAAGTGCAACTTTGCGTAGTTCCAGCACATGTCGATTCGATTAGACATGTTCTTTAGGAACATGCTTCGGAATGGGTAGCGAAGGATTAGCAATAGTTCGAAAAGAATTGCCATTCTGGGTAACAAGGCGTTTTGAACCACCACCTTGAGAAACATACAACGTAGCAGCGCTTTGCTGTTCATATTGTTGATACTTTCTGGTTGTGATCTGAACTGCAAAACAGAGTGGAAGCATGCATCTAGCTCGAAATGCAGGACGAATGGCGATCTGAGAGGAGGAAAGGGCATTCTTGCAACATCTCGAAAGCCGTCGTCAAGAGCCACCGAGGTTGTCAGCCTTGGCGAGGAGAAGAGCAAGACTGACGGTGAAACATCGAAGAAAAGGGCCAAGGCCAAAGAAAAGCACAAAGAAAGTAAGAAGCACAAAGACGACAGAGCTACCGAAGCCGAAAGAGAAAGAAGCCTAGGTGCGACAGAGGGTTGTGTGCCGCAGAGCGACACAAAGAAGGAGGAGAAAAAGGAGAAGAAAGACAAGAAAGCAAAAAATCCGATGGACAAGAAGGACAAGATAGAAAGGAAGCGGCTGAAGAAAGAAAGGAAGGAGAAAAGAAAATCCGAACGGAAAGGAACGGAGAAGGCAAGAGGAAAGAAAGAAAGAAAGAGAGAGAAGATAGAGAAGGAGAAGGAGCGGAAGAAGGCGAAGAGCGGCACCGAGAAGGCCGTTGAGAATGACACTGATGCGCTGGATCCGCTGGATCCTTCTTCGCATCTTGAGGCGAAGGCCTTGGCTCCTTGTCTCGCGGGGCAAAGTGGTCGAAACAAAGTGTTTACTACTGTGTTTACTGACAAAACAACCTGACCCATTCATCCCATTGCGGGTGCAACCCCATGTCCTCAGTCCGAGGAAAACACCCAAAGGAATGGGTGTGGGAATCGAAACCTTGATATTTCAGTGCTATATGAGGGTATATGCAAGTTGTTGTTCTCAGGTCGGGCTTTAGATGTTTTGGAGCTCCGGACTTTTGATATCTTCCCATGGTTACTCTTGCTCAGCCTAGGAGATGAAGATGCGTCGCAAATTGGCAAAAGAAATGCGACGTGAGCAGAGGCGCTTGAAGCGAGAGGAGCACGAGCGCTTGCGAAAGGAGTTGGCTGAAGCCGATGACTGGCACGATGCCATTGGTCAGCTTATTGAGGCAGGACCTTCAAAAAAGTTTTCAAACGTTTCCTAGTGTTACCGTATTTCACAGCTAACTTTAAAACCAGAACTCCCATGTACGTTTGGGAGCTACTACCAACAGGTTGAAGCGCTTACTGTAGCTTGAACATGTCAGTGCCCAAGAGCATTCTTGCACCCTGGGGTTTGGTTCCATACAGAATATCGCAGTTGGAGCAGTCTTGTGTAATGCAGGCTGATGACCAGTAAGACGATGGTGCACTAGATCATGATCATGAGACATGATCCATTTGTCAAACATTTTGATAAAACTGATAAAACTAGTAGTAACAAGAAGCTACTAGTAACAAGTGCATCGCTTCTAGTAACAAGTGCCTTACTAGTAGTAACAAGGACGCTACTAGTAGGCAATTGATAATTCAATTGCTTCCTTTGTTAACATGTGACTCAGGCCGCCGAGGCACGAAGCAAAGAAGTGCCAGAGCCTCAAGAAGGTGAGGATGCGGGTCTCGCGCCGACCTGTCCACCACCGGCACTGACGCCGTCTTTCCACTCTGAGCCTTCTCAACACCAACACCCTGAGCACTCTGAGCACTCTGAGCCTGCCCCATTCCGGACTTTGGAGCAGCTGGTCAAAGAGCTGGATGAACTTGAGAGGCGGGGCCGATGACCTCCAACCATAATAGCGATCGGCAAAACACGGAGTGGCCTGAGCGCATTAGCCAGGCTGGAGTTTGCCTCGGAGTAGTTGGGGGGCTTTGTGCAGACACGTATGCGGCATATTCACTGACGGGTAAAGGCACCCCTTCAACATCTTATCGTCTAAAATCATCAAGCATCTAAAGATATCTAAAGTGATATCCAAGACTTAGATTTTTTTTATATAGATGAACGAATTCTCGTAAGAGTGGGAGAAAAACTGCCGTGCAGGTTGAGGAAGGCAGCAAAGCAAGCAAAGAGATCAAAGCCGGAGGATGCGGAGGACGTGGAGGGAGGAGGCCATCGCTAGTAGGTTGGCGGCCATCGCTACTAGGAGCAAGGACGCTATTAGGAGCAAAGTGCATTTCTACTAGGAACAAGGACGCTAGTAGTAACAAGTGCCTTACTGGTAGTAACAAGAAGCTACTAGTAACAAGTGCATCGCTTCTAGTAACAAGTGCCTTACTAGTTATTAGCTTGGAGGTTTTTGCTTGCTTGCAAGAACCAGGACGTGGAGGGCGACGCTCCAGACGCTCCAGGGGACGGAGATGCACAGCCCGGACCTGTTCCAAATGATCCCATGAACCCGTTGAATGCGGCCTACGACATGAGGGCTTATGAGCTGCTAAGAAAACTTCGACTGGATGAAGAGCATCAAATCTCTCAGGTCTTGGTTCATCAAAAACCACAAAGCATCCACATGAACTGGGGGAGCAACCACTGTTGTTTGGCTGCTTCTTTGCTTCGTCTTATATTTTCTTTCGGTTGTTTGTGTTTTGTTGTATTTTTCTGTTATGCCTCTTGGAATTGCAGCTTTTCCAGTCTTTTCCTTTGTGTTCTTGCTTTTCCGCCTCCGCCTTTGTTTTTGCTTTGCCTTACTGCTTTTGTTGCATGTGTTGCTCTTCTGCTTGGTGTGCTTGCTGAGACAATCTGCCTATATATTTAATGATACTTAATGTGTGTGCACCCTTCCCTTGCTATCTGGAGAAGAGTGTAGGTTATTCATGGCACTCTGTTAGGCAGGGGTCAATTCACGCCCGCCCTCAGATAGCCTTGGATGAACCAGACTGGGATCATTTGGGCTATTTGAGACGCTCTCCATCACCGTGCCGTTTGCGACGCTTGGCACAACCAGGGCAGCTTCTCTTGAACTGGGCCCATAGGATCCCAGACAGCAACTGCTTCAAAGGCACCCTGTCCAGAAGCCCACATGAAGACCAAACGGCTGTTAAAATTGGCTGAACTAAACTTGTGGGATGACCTTGTGGTACCCTTCACCATTGCGATGTTGAAACCGCATTGAAACCGCATCGAAAGCTCTAAAGGTCGTCCCTGAGAGGAACGAAGCATTGACCAAGGAACGAAGGGCACCATGTGGCCCACCCGCAAGGGTGCCTGGCGCAGCCGTGCCGGCGGGGTCTATTTGCCACCTGAGCTCAACCCTGAGAACCTGAGCTGTGCTATGTGATTCTGAAAAGGCGAATTTTCTCGTTGCTGTTTCCAATTTTGAGGTGTTTCCACGACTCCACAACCAGATCTCAAATCTGAGGAAACGAGGCTCACCAAGCCTCAGCCCCGCGCGCTGGATGTATCCAGAAGAGTTTAATCGACCCTTGCAGAGACTTGGCGCGAGTGCAAAACGTCAACCAAAACGTTTGGGTACGGTGTGTGCGTTGCCGCTATGCTTGAATGCACCTCGCTTTGGAAGCTTTATGGTTGGTCAATTGGAGTGTGGACCAGTGTGGAGCTTGGGTTTGTGCGTGCCTCCTGTTTAGCTCTCATAAATGTTCACCAAAAGTCTCCCCAAAGAAATCTAGTGACCTCTCCGGCATTTAGATCAAAAAGACAATCCTGAGTAGGTCCCCTAGTCAAACGCCTGCCCCATCCTGCCTCTTTGCGATGACACCAGGAAAGCGCGGCGGTCTCCATCGTATGAACGCTTCGAGCGGGAGGAAATCTCAACGTCGAGCAGTAGTTCCTCTTCCTCTTCGTCGTCCACAATACCGAAGAAACGGAAGAAACGGAACGTTGCGAGCTCGGAGAGTAGACTGAGTCGACCATCTCCGACATACGACTGATGGCATGGAAGACCCACAAAATGTACAGATGGGCGACATGTGCCACTCGACACGTGCTTGAAACATCTTGAAACGAGGACAATCAGGTGATGACCAAGAAAAGATAGAGCGAACAAACTGTGATTTAGTATATTTAGTATAGTGTTGACGTGTGGTGAGTGCGGTCTGAGTGCGGTCGTGAAGGTCAGCGTCACCAGAGTTTCACTGCGTGAAAAGGGGATCGGAACGAACGGAGCGACGCAGCGAGTCATAGCGACTGCGGGAGGTGGTCGCGGTTTTGGGGAAAGCTCAGAGGCTGTTGCCGTTGGCCCATGCTGGCCCTTCTTTGAACACCTGCTGTTTAACATTTGGGCATGCATACGTGATAATATGTTTATATATCCCATATGTTTTACGGGTTGTTTGATGTTGGTCCAGGTTCATACGTGGAAATCAGCGTGGGCTGCTAGCAGAGAGCGTCTCGGAGCCATGACCTCAGTGTGTTTCCACACCGCCTGTGACCGAAGCCAATGTCGCCTCACTTTGTAAAGACCGGATTGGCGCCTTTGCACCATTTACATTCAAGCTATTCAATCCTTAAAAGATCTGGATATTGAAAAATACGTAGAAGCTTGAAAGTTTGCAGCTCAGGTGGAAAAAGCTTGTGCAAAAGGCCAGCCGATTTTGGGACTCATATTTGAGGCAAAGGACAATCATACGTCTTTCGCCAGGACAAGGCCAAGACGGGTGTGGAGCTCATGATCCAACGTTGGGTTCGTGGAGATGCTGCAGGATTTCCCGATTGAAGACGCGCTAACTTGAACTTACCTTCATCACTCACTGCCTGGCCTTCGACAAGAAAACTCCGGCAAACACCACAAACACATATTACAAAGCTATATTATATAAAGCTCATTGTCAAATTTGCTTTTGGGTTTCTAGCTTGCCCTTGCAGGACTCATGGCCGAAGTCCTCGCAGTGCACGGAGCCTATTGAACGCCTACTCAGCAATAGCCCATCATCCACTCTGAATGCTGAAAAAGGAACCGAGCACAACATCTATCAGTTGGCTTCTTACTTTGACTAAGTGAGCAAAGTCGCGACATTTACTTCTGCAACACTATTAGTTGCTTGAATTAGTGGTTCTGATGATGAAATGGAACGTATCTGAAAAGAGCACCGACGGTTATGGCGCGTCACCAAAAAATCCGCCCTGTTTCTATCCGTAGAGTGGAAAAGGCAGCTTATGCCTTGAGTCTTCATGTGAACCTTTATGGGTTGATACTTCTGATATTTGCATGTCATCCCCTTCCTCTACAGTATCGAGCCATGCGAACTGTTGCCATAAAATGTGTGGCTTCCTTTCTGACAACCTAGGTGGAAGAAGCTTCTTGACAACAGGAAAGCAGCTGCATGCTTCCGAGCAAGCATTGCATTCAATGCTATCTACTACCACCCTGTGTTTGAGTTGATGTGTCATGAGGCAAGAAGAGAGAGAGCACACCAAGCGGTGAACTTGTTGTACTCTTCTCAGATTCTCAGGGGAAGAAAGGAAACGAAGAAAGGATTGTAAAACATGCAGCATTGGCAAAAAAGCGGCAAAAGCAGTGTAACCATGCATGGGTAAACGTGAGGCTTGCGGTTTTCATCTCAGGCTTTGCACCTGGCGGCGGCCTGGTCCGCAGGGAGTGGCAGTGTGGACGCCGAGAAAGCATGTTTCCTGGAATGACCTTTCTTAAAGCCCGCTCTCCAACCTAATGGCGATGGCCTCCAACTTACTAGCGATGGCCAACCTAATAGCAATGGCCTGGTGCTATGCCGTAGCAAAGTCAGCAATTCAGTTTCGGACATAGATGTCGGCAGATGGGATGGAAGCTGAAGGCCTGTGCACTCTCAGCTTGGAACCGCTATGCGGCAAGAAATCAAGGACAGTGTGCCGTTACCACTGTTGAGAGCTCCTTGAGGTGACGAAAGAGCCCACAACGGAAGGGCATTTACAAGTAGCACCTGCACTGCACCGATTCGCCGAAGGACGCACCCGCGCAAGAAATTCCATAGAGTGCTGTCCCCAGTGGCGAAAATAAGAAAACATTGTTTCAGTGTTTCAGTGTCCTGGGCTTTTCGAAGAAGGCTCAAAGATCTTCGATCCAAGTCGTTTGCAGCATGCCTTTGTATGACCTGTTTGCCCTTCGGATGTGTGCGGCTCTTAGCTAAAGGCACAGCTAAGCTAGGCACGGCTAGGATACCTCTGACAGAGTTTGGAGCCATGGCTGCAATGGCTGGACTCGTGCGAACATGCCTATCCCGATCTTTGAGGCAAGGAGCTTTCTCAAGACTTTCTGGTTTTGGCGCCAGTGCTCCTTCTTGGCAGTACAGGTGCTTCAGCGCAGCTCCTCGTCAGGAGCGTGTGATTGCCGCAGTCGAGAGGTACATGAAAGCTCGGAAAGATGATCTCCTCCGTGACAGTGACAGCGGAGCCGAAAACCGCGAAGAGTCACTGAAAGCCTTGGACAAAACCGTCTCTGTCGAGACCCGGTGGGAAGAATTAAAGTTTGATGACATCGACAAGGTGGAAGTGCTTTTGGAGGTCGAAGATGAATTCAGCCATGTGATCCCTGATGCAGATGCCGACAGCATCAATTCCGTACAAGAGATCTTGAGCTACTTGGACAAGGCTGGCGTGAATTGAAGCGTGGGGCGATTTTGTGCGGCACACTTGGATGAAGAATCATGTGACGAATTCCGTGAGTGCCCTCTAGCGGCCATCCATAGGCCACTTGTGAAAATGCCTGCTGTGCCGGCAAGACCCTCGTGAACCAATGCGACCCAGAAAACGGGAGTGATCCGCACCGGGCGCTGTTGTTGAAAGCGTGTTAACAACCTTGCTAGCTACACAAAGACAAGTGCAAACAGAGCGGAACATCCAGTACAGCACACCAGACGCGCCATTCCGCATGGCACGACCACCTAGGCGTCAAGTGAAGCGCTATTTGCTTGGCAAGACGAATGCCATGCGCGGAGTGGTTTGCCCTCAGTTTTTGCTGTCGTGTTGATAAATGCTGTTTGCTCCGGTTGCTCTTTGAGGTGTCAAGTGCCGCTAATTTTTGTTGACATAGTCCTGATGGCTACCTCTAAGTTGTTTCTAACAGCGATGGCCTCCACCCTAGTAGCGATGGCCTCCAACCTACAAGCGATGGCCTCCACCTTCCGTTTTATTGACGTACTGCTGCACTGCTGGAATTCAATTTTTCGTCGCGGGGGAGGACAGGGACCAACAGTTGTCTTGAGGTGCTGGCAGACTGGAGACAGGTGCCTTCATTTAGCAAGCTCCCGGTCGAGCCCAAAAACAAGAGAAAACTTGCTTTCTTTTCAGCCCGCCCTTACTTAATTAAGTATAGGCACTAATAGGCATCTACTTATAAGTAAGGAGGTACTGTAAGAGGATAAGAGGGGGGTGCAGGCCGCGGATAGAGGATAAGAGGTAGCTATAGTAGTAGCTATAGTAACTATAGTAGCTATGAAGTAGGTAGGACGCTCCTACTAGCTAGGACGCAGGATAGCTCACGCTCGCACTAATGATTTGGTTCCTAGGTTTTTGCCAGCAGGTTCGACTCAATCATTTAACCAAGCCGTGGTGTTTTGCGCCGCTAGCTGTTACTTAACTGTTTGTCTTGCTAATTATTCCCAGAATGGAGAAAACGAGACTCCGAAAATTCGTGCATTGGAATTTGTGCACCGGAACCTGATTGGTGCAATTGTTCAAACCCGTGGTGTGCCGAGACGACGTTGAAACCGCTTGCATTGCTTCGCCGAAATGTGAGGTCACTCGCCGCGGGAAAGCCCATGGGTCCGTGGAAATCATCTTGAAGCAGCTTCGTGCTTAGGTCCACGAGAGAACGCATGGGAAGAGAGACAGAGGAGGAGAAGGAGAAGTGAACAGAAGCAGAAGAGAAGGGGTGGAGACAGGCAAGTCACAAAGAAAGACCATGAAAGCAGAAGATGAAAGGTGAGAATGGCAGAAGCTGGGCAGAAGGATGCAAAAGTGAAGAGAGACGAAGAGAAACAAGAAGCAGTCAAGAGAAAGAGCATTTAAAATTTAAAAAAAGGTGAGGCTACTTTCAAGGGGCCAGGCCCTACCTTCTGTTTTTCATCACACATTTGTTAGATGCATTGTGTTTCCAACAGAAAGACCTTCCCGAACAAAGGAACGGACAATTCGCATTTGAGGTGGGAGTTGGGCTCCGCCCGTGGGCTTCAAACCACGGCAGCTTAGCTTTTTTGGACTGTCAGGGTGAGTGTATATGAGTTTTTGTATGTTTTTGTTCTTTAAAAAGCACTATGTGCCTCAGCACTATGATAGTTTATGTGCAGCAGTTTTCTCAGGCACCTCGAGTGACTCGAAGGAAATTCTTCAGTTCTGTTCACGAGCAGCTTTAGACAATTTGCTACCGGAGGTGATGGGGGAGTGGCAGTCCGAGCCTTTGCACGATACCGATACCTGCGTGGCCTGGTGTGCTTCTCACGTGTTGACCCTTTGAATCCCTTGTGCCATATGCACATAAATCCAAAAAGCGCTCCAAACCAGCAAGAAGTCTAGATTTTGGTCAACATGGTGAAACTAGCATCTCCGTCAACAAGACATTCGCAAAACATCGTTGACAAATAAGCTCTTTTTTGCCGTGCCTCGTCCAGCTTTTGTTTCTTGTTCATTGGACATGGATCATTGCTTCCCTGTGTTTGTGTGGCTCTAGCTCTTCCAGCGTGCTGCTGCGCGTGCCATTCAAGTGCCCTGGCTGGTCAGTCATTTGTGCCCTTGAAAGACCTAATTGCCTCCTAGCCATTGCTATGCTCTCTGTGTCCCGCCCCCTAGGTGCACACCACTTCTCAAAAACGTTTACATCATGGCGCTCATTGCTGACATCGCTAACAACGCTGGTGCGATGCTTAAAAAGCACAAACATTTTGTGGAATATGGTGGTTGTTGCTGTTGATCCGCGTTTTGACTTTCAAAGACGCGACAGGATTGCCAAAGCTTGGAGATGTTCGTCACCACTTTGAGATCCGTGTTCCCGCACCTTTGACAGAACAGGTCGAAGAGGGAGGAGTGAACAAACTGGAACACTCTGAAAGTTTCTCCACACGTTGTGCCTGAAATTGAGCTGGATAAGGTGGGTGTTGGGGTAGTGGACCCTGTGGTAGCCGCTTGGAGATTGGAGAGAAACAGCTGTGCAATGATGTTGTTCAAAACATCCCCAGTGATGCAGTGATGTTGTGTTGCTTTCAAGGTGGTAGTGGTGGTAGTATAATGCAGCAACGGGGCACTGGTCTCCGAGCTGAACGAGATGGCACTAGCTTCATCGGTGACAATGACGAGTATCAGTTGCTTGGCCTTTGAGACGTTTGAGGGGAGGGCATGTGGAGCATGCCGTTGGACCCTCATAACTACCGTGTTTTGCTTCATTGTGTTTGAACGTGTCAAGCTCCCACAAGTTTGGCTCAAAGTGCGTCAGTGTTTCCAGCCATGAGATTGGATTTTCCATTGCTGCTAGACTGTGAGTCTCCACCATCGGAAGCTGCAGTGGCTGTGTGTGCTGGGCCGGCCCAGTCTACACATTCGACACGCCCTTCACTCAATCGCTTCAAGCGAAGTGTCGCCATCACCTTCGTCACCTTTGTTTTCTTGTCTTTTGTTTTCTGGGTGCCGCTCAACACTTTGCTGCGGAGACTGGAGAGGGCGGATCGAGTGGTGCTGGTGGATGGCCAGACGTACTCGGCTGTCCAATACTTTGGCTTTAACCTCTTTACCGCGCCAGGCACCGAAGTCGATGGCTGCTTCGACCGGGGGGATGATATCGATCAGTGCTACTTGGGCAGTGGGAAGGTCCAAGAAGATGTCAGCAAGCGACTGGAAATCATGTTTGAGGCAGTTGAGCGTTTATTTGCATCAAACCTCTGGGATCCTGCCCCTACAACACTGAAGATCTTCATGTTGCCTGAATTCTACTGGCGTGGAAAGCAGGGTGCTTATCGCATTCACCGTGGAGTTGAGCGAGTGACTCATCCAGCTGCTAGGTGGATCGCTCATCAGTTCACACAAGAACGCTTCAAACATTGGTTGATTGTAGATGGAACCGTGGTGATGGCTCAAAACGCAGATGGTGTTCGCGGTGCGGTTCGACCCGAAAGCATCAGCTACTTCAATTTTGCCCCTGTCCATGTGGGTGGAACCAACCTGACCTACTTCAGGTTCAAACATTTGATCAGTGGTATCGACTTTTTGCAGCAGCCGGGTGCTCGCAGAGTTCCGGCACCACCTCACCACTCTCATCGCTTTTGTGAAGAACATCCAGGTTTCAAGGGTTGTGTTTACCAACACTTACCACCGGATCTACTGGAAGATTTGGGCTTTGGTCATGATGTGGAACTGCCCAGTGGCTTATTGAAGATTGGTGGTTTGCGAATTGGTTTGGAGATTTGCTTGGACCACGCCATGGGAGAGCTTTGCAAGAAAGAGCTGAAGCCATGGGAACGGGTGGATCTGCAGCTCATCGTCTCCGCCGGGATGAACATTGCCTCAGGTGGGTGGTCACTCTGTAGCAGTACTGACTAGCACTGGCAGCTCATCTCTTGATTTTGGGCTCCAACTCTTGCCAAGCATACCCTTTGGGTCTCAGCCCTCTCCTGAAATGTTTCTTGTCATTCCTTGTCCATCCGTCACCTCCAGGTCCTGTGTGCACGCGTCCTGGAGGCCCGGTTTTCCTTGCAGACGGCTTTGCAAGGACTGAGGTGAGCCTCAACGCATTTGGCCGTGGCCGAGAGAGTGCTCCGATGCTTCGTCGGGGTCGGCGCTTTAATGCCTCTTGGCCCACTTTTGGCGAGTGTCAAATCATGTGCTGAGCAAGCCAGGTTTTGGGGATGCCGGCTTGTAAGAGATGAAGAGGCATAGCGGTCTCATGCACTCTGAGCCAAGCCTTTGTGTTGGATCATGGAAGGTTACACACAGGTTTGCACTGGTTGCCATTTCAGACATTTTCAGATGAACTTCCCAGGTTGGCCTTGAATATGGCGCAGATGTGATGGTTTCGATGCAACAGTGGTTGGCTGACAGCATTCTCCGCCTCACAGGGACAAGTTTCGGCAGCCGCTTTCCAGGTGGCAGCATGCCCGGGGAAGCAATCCCATTCAGGCAGATCCCCGCCCTGGGAGAGAATTGGATGAAAAAGCTCAAAGGCTTCTTAGCAAAAGTGCAGCTTAAGTCTTACGGATAATGTTTGGCATGCTTTTGTGACCTTTTTTCTCAAGCACTTTTAGCTGGAGCACGCATCCAACCTCACTGCAGATTCGACATAAGGTTTCTATCACACTGGCAGCTATGTAGAAGCAAGTTTGGCACAGAAAGCCTTCGAGCGAGCACTGAATACGACCAGCACGGCCGGCGCGTTCTCTGACTCGGTAGAAGAACCTAAGGTACGAGGTTCTGCAGCATAGATAGCTATTCGGTTGGAGGCCGTCGCTAGTAGGTTGGAGGCCATCGCTAGTAGGTGTTTTTTTCTCTTTGTCCTTTCTTTTTGTTTTTGGTGGCCATTGCTATTAATTAGGTTAGTGCAGCATAGAAAGGTCTCCAACTTTTGGTGTCCTTTTAGATGTTTTAGACCCGACTTGTTTATTCCTGTCTTTTCTTATTCCTGCTGTTCTTTGCCAAAAAAATCCAGAGTGGCATGACTGTGTTCTTCAAAAGTTTCACAGTTCCAAGTACCCTCGAGGTCTTCCCGACAATTGACATCTACGGCCCGTTTCTTCTTCCAAAGTGACGCACTTCTCGTCGGAAGGCTTGCTTGCACAATTTGCTAATTCGCAGCCACCGGACTTTGCCAAGCGCCTAGCTAATTGAAAGCTCGATATCCTTGGGAAGCCTGCTATTTTTGACTTTTTGCGAGCAGGTGTTGTAGTCCAGTGGGCGCTGAGAGGCATCGCCCATCCCAAAGGGATGCTGCTTCATTTAGATTTGCCAAGAGCTCAAGGTGCCTCACAGTTTTGTGTGCAGAACTTAACATGCCGCTGATGCCAACAACACAGGGTATTACTCGGTATGAAGGTATGACACAGGGTGCTTCAAAACTTTTTTTGAGTTTGGAGCAGCCCCGGTGGCCCTTCTTGTCACTTAGTGACTACGTCATCGGACGTTTTTCTGGAGTCACCGAGTCACAACTTGGTCCCACTCAAGCGGACGGCAAAACGTCGAAGTGCAAGCCTGACACCGATGCCACAAAACGAGTCGAACAGTCTTCTTTGGAGCTGAGTTTGGTCCAAGGCTTCCAAGAAGAGGCGCAGCGGCCTCTTGGAAGCTCCATTCACGAGTTAGTCAAAGCCTTGAAGCATCCAATTACCAATAAAGTGCCATACCAATCCATACCAATGTGTTATGCTCCAAAATTGTTGGCATTGACCTTTCCCGATGCAGGTAAAGAGGCTGAATTCCAAGCGCTCTCGAAGTGTGCGGGAACAGCTCCTCAGCTTTTCAAATTGTGTCGTCAAGGGACTTTGGGTGCAACAAGTGGACCGACAGACGAGTCCCGTTTTCCTGCATGCTATTGCATGCTATATGGGTACCCATATAATGCATTGTCAAAGTGGCGTTGTTGGATCCAATTTCATTCTGATAGGCTTCCCACATTGCTTCGTCGCTTGCATCCGGAGCAGCGACGAGCTGTGATTGCACGCTTATCGCAGGCGGGCTTTGAGAGACTAGGCTCATGGAGGAACCACCGGGAACCAAGAACCATGCCCGACATCAATAAAGATGAGTCAGCCAGGACAAAACCCAAGGATCTGACATTTGTGCTGCATTCCACGGCGAAACTTCTTGGAATAGAGCAGTGCTCCTTTGCGTGTCCAAGTGGCATATAGTATGTTCTTTTTAAGAGTTGCATCAATATGTCAACTATGGCACTTGCCGCACCACAGTTGCTGCCAGCAGGAAGTTCATTTGCTTTTGTGTTGGTACTTATATAGGTGTTTTGATTAGAGCAGGAAAAGCAGCCGGCAGAACAACACACATACAATGACTTAGATCACTACGCAAATTTCCAAAACACATTGATCCTGTAGCAGCCCAGCCCGCTGGTCCTTTATGTTCGTTTGAGGGACGTTGCATCCCAATGAGGCTGTCCTGGTCACTCTGTGGTTGCATGTTTATGTCACGCTTGTTGGTTCTTGGTATACACCACACCTCACGCACCCCACATATAGCGCTGAGGAGCACCGCGAGTTGGCTTGATGCGCAGGCCTCATGGCAGGTGCAGTACTTTGTGAACCTCGAAGTGCAGATTTCGTGGCAGTCGCAGGGTTTTGTGGTCCTTGAAGTGCAGATTTCGCGCCATTGGCAACTACAAATGCAAGGTCCAAAGGTGCGTAGCGAAGTGGAAGTTTGCGGTTATAATTCAAGGCCCCGCCACACGGCTTATGTGAACATTTGCTTTGCCCCACTCATGCGCAACAAGTGAGCAGCTTCAAAAACCTCTGTGATGAAAAATGCACAAGCTGTAATCTGACATTCTTTTGCGAAAGCCAAAGCGCAGGTCGCGAAAGCCCCGCGAAAGCCCCCCAGAAGAACAGTGTCGCGAAAGCGTTTGCGAAAGGCGAATTTCTTGTACATGTCATGTATTGTATTGTTTATGTAGGCGGCCATGGTTTTTGTATATGGTAAACATTGCCATGCTTGAAACAGTTGCTTTGCCATGTTTGTGAGTTCCGGTGAGTTGTTTCCAGGAACCAAAGGTCAGCGGCAGCAGCAGCAGCAAAGCACCAAGCAGCAGCAGCAGCAGCAGCACCAGCAGCAGCAGCAGGGGCACTGAAGAGTAAGTGTTTGAGGGGGAAATCGGAAAAAACAACACAGAGGAATTTCCGCGAAGGCCGCGCGAAAGATTCACAAACCGCGAAAGTCGAAAATCTCCGGGAAAGGTAGTACCCATCCGGCCCCAGTAAAAGAGTCTCCGCAAAAAACTAAAAAAATCTCCCCAAAAGTCTCCGCAAACTAAAACGTCGCAAACTGCAAAGACTGAAAGGCCCCAAGTCTGAGTCGACCTCCTCCCCGTCGGGAAGTTCATCATCGTTTTCCTCCTTTTCTAATGACAACAAAAAAATGAACGGTCCTGCTGTGCTGCTACAACTCCTTGTGCCAGGGTGCGGCTGGAAAGAAATTTGTTCAAAACCTTTGGTTTGCTGAGTTTTGATAACCCAAAGGAAACTTATATACTTAGATCAACCACTTAGTACATTATCACAATCGAATTTCCCAATCGAAAACGAATCGTCGCGAAAGCCACCGCGAGAACCCCACATAACACCATACCTTCCCCGAAAGCCAAAATGTAGGTCGCGAAAGCTCCGCGAAAGCTTTTGCGAAAGCAAACCTGGATTACACACAAAAGTAAGACGGTTTTTGAAACCGCTCAAGTGTGTTTGATACAGTTTCAACACCTGTAGTAGAAGTGGTGGACTCCCACATGAACTTACCCAGAAGGATTAAAAGCGCACCAATCAGCAGGTAAGCATAAGTACGCGTACTTTTTGGATTGAAGATGTATGTTTCCACTGAAAGTTCTGACACAATCTACAACTTTCAATCCAAGCAATACGTGTCTCACGCGTACTTTTCTCGGACAATCCAACCAGTTGGGGAAAGGTCCTAAAATGTCGCCAAAACGCTGCACATCACAAAGAAACATGTACAAAAAAGTTCCCGACGTACGTGGGGGACTATATACAATATGTACATATTATTGGTTTTGATATGTGCAAAATTGTGTGTATACATCTATAGTCTATAGTATAGTATTATGTTTGTTTATTTCTGTAAATGTTGCTATGCGTTTGCATTGCTGAGCGCAACTTGTCTGACTTTTTGCTGAAGAAGTGTTGATATTTTGAGGGTGCTTCGATCCGTGGGTACAGCGGTTAGGACCCATGGGGCACTGCATTTTCTGTGGGGGCCATGAATTCGGGGCGCAGGGCCAGCGGATGCAGCTGGAGCGCTGGGTGCTTGCGCAGCAAATCCAAAAGTAGGGAACTAAGTGAGACAGCAGTGAGAAGGAAATGCGACAAAGGATGAGGCTTAGATAGGTTTAGGGTAAATCTATACAGTGAGCACCTTGTGCGAGGCAGTCAGATGCCAAGGCGAGGTATGCCAAGGCGCCGGAAGACGCAGAACGGAAGCTTTATCAATTGTGAGTCACTCGAACTGATTGCAGGCCAAGATTGAGCCGATTTGGGGCACAAAGCGCGGGAGCGGGTGTCCAAGCTCCTGCCGTAGGTCCCAAAACATGTATTATCAGGTGCCAAAACATGCAGAAACCCGTTTGAGACAGGAGGTGACTGTGCAAAGTCTTGGGGAGATTTGCAAAGGTGCCTTGAGAAAGCGATGCGGCAATGTGGAGGACACCTCGCTGCACAATGCAGACCAGCTGGATATTGAAGAGATGTGGTAGTAACAAGAAGCTGTTATAGTTAAAATATATTAACTAGCTTCTTGTTACTACTAGTAAGGCACTTGTTACTACAAGCGATGCACTTGTTCCTAATAGCCTCTTGTTACTACTAGTATTCATGTTTTGGCGATCCATCCGAATAGAGAAGTTGGACATTCGTTTTGCGAGGATTCCACAGGGCATGGAATTTACCATCGCCGCATCGCAGGTCCAAAACCAAGTCACATGTTGTCACAAGTCTTCGCTAGTAGGTTGGAGGAGATTCCTATCAGGTTGGAGGCCATTGCTACTAGGAGCAAGGACGCTACTAGGGGGTGACCGAGGCCGCTCCACCTACGAAGCCACTGCTTCAGCTGGGCCGTTTTCATTGAGCACACGTTGGACATCAAATTTCAACCTGGCAATGCAGCACAAGCAGGTGCCGACAAGCAAGACAAACCCCAATCCACAAGTGACGTTTTTTCCCCAGGCCTGCAGCGTCCCAAATTGACTTTGTGTTGTGTGAGGTTGTAGGTAGGTCGTTCTCAAGTGGCCAGGAGCCCCTTAGTGGGGGGGCCTTGTTCCTAGTAGCGATGTCCTTTGTTCCTGGCAGCGTCTTGCTCCTGGTAGTAAGGCCAGGACTTCCCTAGTAGCTTCCTTACACATGCATCAAACATCTGAAGCGTTTCCTCACATCTATTGTCACGTTCAATCGAGATTCGTCTCAACCTGCCAGATTCTTCAGTCCATCCGAGATCGCATGGAAAGGTCCAAGGCTGAGATTCAGGCAGATTGGGTTAGCTTTGCCGAAGTTCTTGCTTCAACAATTTTCAATCTGATTTCTATATGACCTGTACACATTTGAGGGTTGGCTTGATCAATATAAGACAGGACTGAAACATATTGAGCAAGAAAAGGATATGATTGAGGGTGGTCTCGCGATTCCTTCCCCAAGTCAAGTGTAATCACCCGTGCATTTGTTCAAGCCAATTCAATCCCCGTAGCTGGGGAAGTGTATACTTATCGTTTTCCTGAAAGAAGCATATTATGGTGCAGTATTAGAAGCATACTTCTCTTTGGAGTTTGCGGGAGGCGTTTTTTGGGGTTCGCAGACCGGCGACCCGCCTGGTGAGAGGTGAGCTTCAAGGAAGCGATTGCTGCGGAGCTCCAAAATCACGGCCACACCGCGAAGGCTTCGCTTCGGGCCGAAGCTCCAAGTGGGGAGATGTTAGGAGCAAGGATGCTACTAGGAGCAAAGGGCATCGCTACTAGGAGCAAGGACGCTACTAGGGGCTCCTGGCCTTACTACTAGGAGCAAGGACGCTAGCATGAATGAAGTACGGCCTGTGAAATGCCCGCTGTAGGTATATAGTTGATGTTGTTAAACAAAATAGAACCAAGGCTCCACAATGTTTGTTGCGCTGAAGCCTTCAAGGAGTTGAACCTCACCTTTGTGACCCGCGTTGGTGCGCGCTATTGGGCACCTTGCTGCCAATGGGTGGGTAATACCCTATGTTGCATCACCATGATTGTTAATAGTTGATTGTAGCTTCTCAATCACCTGGGACCAACTTGTGTATTCACATGCCACCATTTGAGAACGTGAAATAGATTGTGCTTTGGATCTGGTAGTCAACTTTCCAATCGACCACCATTAAATTTGCTCTTGTTCCAGCTTCTTTGACCTAACGCCTTATTGTGGCTCCCACGTGCTTGATGTGGGATGTTAGTTTTTTCGTTTAAGCCAGCTGCCCACACACTTAGTCACAGGGTTTGCAGTTATCATAATCCACAGTGAAATGGATGAGGGAAACGCAAGGTGAAGCGGTCAGCGCAGGTGAGAATGTTGAACATTTGTTTGAAATCTCTCGCAAAAGCTCAGCTGCAGAAAGCGGCGGTGGGTTTGGGGGAAGGTGTCGTGCAAACGACCATGACAGCAAAAAAACAACACAGGAAAAGTGGAGTCTTGTCACAAAGCAGATACACGGAAGTGATCAGCTTCCGCTTCCTAGGGTCTTGCCAGGAGCTTCGTTGGGCAGAGCCTTGCAAGCCCCCTTTGCCCCCCTGCATTCTTGAATTCGCGCATGCAAACGAGAACCCTTTGGAACAAGGGGAGGCACACACACACAATGAGCTCACCTGTCAGTGACCCTAACGGGCAGCCGCCAGTCCAAAATTCACAAGTTGGTCAGGGGATGTGTTGCTGCTTTGTTTGTCTAGACATTTTAGGCAAACTATGTTTCTTGTTCTGCCCCAATCCCTCGCTTCATGAGAGCCAAGGTGGGTCGCAGTTTGGAGACGCCACGCTTCTTGGCCGAAGGCCTTAGCTTGGAGCGAGGGCTCCGCGCCTGGGAACGCTTGCGAAAGGCGAGGCAGCGACTTGGAATGTCGATATTCCCACCAAGCATCACGCCATAACCAGACACAAGTGCCTAGGGCCCAAATTTGCTTTTGAAGACGGACGGACAGGCTCGGTGCACCGTCTTCGAGGGGGCGTGCAACGAGCTATCCCTGCTCAGTCAACATAGTCCAGGCTGACATGCTGCATCTAAATGCTAAATGCTAGGATTCCATTGGCCTTTGCTTTTGGACGCAAGAGTGTCCAAAATCTTTGCGCCTCTGCGTCCAGGAGAATTGGCGGAGGCTTGGACACAGCTTCGATCCGTGTACCTGGACATTTGGGAAGAGTCAGGCTTGAACTCCCTCTGCAGGTAAAGTGATGTCCGACAGAGTTGGGCCCAACACGGTTCTTTGAAACTCCGAGCTTCGACCGCAGGCCACCTGAGAAGCCGCGTGCTCCGGCGCCTGGAACGGCTGGAGCGCCGCCAGGAGCCGCGGCGCATGCTGGCAGAACAGCGCTGGCGTCGCTAAGCACAAAAACGACACAGTTATCAAAAACGACGCAAAAACGCGTGACTTTTTGAAAAAAGAACAATACAAACAAGCATGCCTGTCTTCGTTTCAATGTGTGCCCAGGCGCGGCTTGCCGCTCTCACAGGAGCCTGTTCGTGACTGTGTTGACCGCGAGCACATGTAAGCTCGAGTTCAAAGCAGAGATTCCATTTCCTGCTCGCTCCATGTTGGGTTGCTGGAGGTCTGCGCAGGGTGTGGTAGATGTAAGTAGATCTAGCTAGCTGGTACTCGTAGCAGTAAGTAGGTTAAGGTCAGCTAATCTAAAGGTGGTTTCGTTTCAAGATGACGGTGACAAGTGTAAACTAGAAAATGCAAAATGCAAACTGACTAAATATAACACGGAAAATATATGCCGGAAACTGTTTTCAAGAACAGAAAGCAACTTTAAAGAACTGAACCAGCACCCTAAAAGCGCAAAACGCCTTCACAGTGCACTTGTTCAGTTCCACAGGAAGACCGGCAAAGCACTTCCAGGTCTGGGATTGCACTTTGAGAGTGAAGAAAGGGATGAGAAAGTGAAGAAAGATGTATGAGTACATATGTCAAATACTAATATATACACGTTTTATACATTTTGTGACACATTGATGTGCAGCATATGCATGGTTTCAGGACCTGTTGTGAGAATACCAAACCACAAGATAGTTTCGTTGCTTCGTGTTGCATCGCAAGCTGCAGCTCTTGGGCTCAAGTGCTCATCATGGGTGGGTCGCAGAGTCAAGATGGTGAAGGACACACGGAAGGACGAGAGTCTCAAGCGAGAGGATCGGGTGGTGAGATGGTGAAGTTAAACGTTTACTCACCCTCTGGGGGTCAGCACGTGGCACCTCGAATCAAGCATCGACGTCCAAACCGAGATTTGACCAACATTTCTCCGTAGAAGACATGTGATATGCAACATTGCCTACTTCTCTAGTTCCACCTGCGTTCTAAGGCGTATCACTCCGGTGTGGAGATCTTTGGTGGTGAGTATGTCTTTGGAGGTGGGAACACCTCTTACAGCGGTGTCACAGTTCAAAGGCCTAAAATACCTCCTGCTGGCAGCGGCTGGACTTTCTATCAGACTGTGGAGATTGCGCCATGTCGCTACTCCAGGGATGATGCCATGAGACAAATCCAGCAATTGAGAGCCGAGTCCCCTGCATATTGAAACAAGAACGGTTTCTCGAGATTGGGACTTAGCTACCCAGTCCGTGCTCACAAGAACGCTTTGGTGTTCTGTTTTGGCTTCTTGCGATGAGGTTCCCTGCATCTTCATACGATCTCATGGCCCGAAATTGCAATCACTTTGCGGAAGCATTGTGCCAGCGACTTTGCGCCTTGGAAACGAGTCTCCCCCACAGGTCAGCTAGTCAGTGAGAACCCTAAAGCAAACATAAGGAGTTGGCAGCTGCAAATGCAGTTCAATTCGAGATTGAGGGTTTACCGTATGTCACGAGGGCCTGGAACAGTCTTGGACTGAGCCTGACTGTGGGGTGAGTGGGTGGTCTCACACCAAAACCATCCCTTGTTCCTTCACAAGTAGCGACACGGCATGAACGTTCCAAAATATCTTGCGAGAAGCACTTGCTCGCTCTAGATCTCATACTTGGAACATCCCTTTCTCTTTGCAGGTGCTCAAGGCATTCCAAGTTGGGTGAATCGCCTTGCGGGCATTGGCAACGCCATGCGGAGCGCCGTGGGCTCTGCGCCCACCCCCGCGGGCCCGGCACGTGCTGAGGGTGCTGGAGGTCCAGCCGCCGCTGGTGTCGTGGCCTCATCGATCACCGACGGAGATCTCACATCTCAAATCGATTGGTCACTTGGATATTGGATTACTAGTAACAAGAAGCTATTAGGAGCAAAGGGCATCGCTACTAGTAACAAGGGCCTTACTAGTAGTAACAAGAAGCTATTAGAAACAATAAGAAGCGATCACTTAATGTCTCTTGTCACTTTTAGCATGGTGTTTTTTCATGTGTTTTCTCGAACAGTTTTGGAACCGGATTGCTGTTTGTGATGCTGGAGTCGGAGTGGACCTTTCAGATGGCATTTCGATCGTGCAAGAGCGATCTTGCTTCCGCTTAGGAAAGCTGCTGGCGTGCTGAATGCGGTGGAGAGTGAACCTACGGAAGCGTTGCAGACGGGCAGCGTGACTTCAGAGGCAGGAAAACTTGAGATATACGTAGCCCGTAGCAAGCTGACATCCTCAATGTTTGAGAACGTCAAAATTTGTTCCAATTGAGTTCTGGTGCGTGTGTGTTTGTCGAAGGCTGGCTCTCCGGAATTGCTGCTTTTGCTTCCCTTCATTTCTCCCGTAAAGTTGCAGAAGCTGGTGCTCGGTGCATCGAGCGAAGCTGTGCCCACAAGCCTCCGACTGCAGCTTGGCCTTTGGGCCTTTGGAGCCGGTGGAAAATCATGTTGTCCAAGGGCTAAGTTGTCTTCTTGTAGTGTTCGTCATGTGCCAACGTTCAGAAAATGATTTGAACGGTTGAACACGTCCATTCCCAGGTTTGCCAACAATCCAAACTTGGACATGGATGATGCCATGACTGGAGCAGCAACACAAGAGTTTCAGGATTTGTGCTGGACATCAGGTTCTGATGGTTTGTCAACCACATTAGAGGTGAATTTCCTTAAGTTTCAGAAGCTGAGCTTTCTGGCAATCTACGCGCGTGGTGAGGATGATGGAATCATTAGCGTTTGCAAGCTGGCCTTGATTGGTAGAGCTTGAGGAACTGGAGGATTGCTAGCACGACTGACCACTGTTCACTGTGCAAGCTTCATAAGCAAGCACGCCCAGAGTTCAAAAGTGGCTTTGCTACGTGAGGTCACTGTCCCATTTCGTCCTTCGTTGGGTGCACCACATGGATGACGGATCAACCGACTTTGCAGCTCACATTCTGCCAGGTCCCTCAATGGTTGGCATCTCAGCTTCCTATTTTGCACATTCACCTCAAGTCGGCCTGACAACGAAGTACTACAATAGTGCTGATAGATCCGAAGCAGCATGTAGGACTAGCACGAGAAAAAGTAAGAAAGGTCTGAGTGAACGTCCGATTGGAAGAACTAGAGGACAGACATATTTGTTCAAACTGGCCGCAAGAGCACTACTACTCAGGTCTTTGACTTTACCAACTCCTGTTTCACCTTACCCCACCCACAAAAAATACTTCGAAAGATTCCCACCGTGGCATTTCCATTCAAGGCTCCACCATGCAAGAGCAATTTTCGTCTGCAACATTGCAAGCAAGTCTGTCTCATTGTCCCCGGCTTGCCACCTGGCAGATCACTTGAATCAGTCATCAAATTTACCAGCAATAACTTGTGGGTTGAGGTCCGGTCGTGCCCACTGCGATCTGGTGCTTGCTGTTCAGGTGGCGAGGAGGAGCCGGAACGAGGAAGGAGGAGAAGAAGAACTTTGATAAAAGCTAGCAACCCGCCTGGCAGCCGGGGAAGAAAACATCCCAAGCCTACCACCGCCACTACCGAAAAACACGCTTTTTGATTCGACCTCTAGGGAGTGCTAGATGCTTGAAGGTAAAAAGAAGGTTGCCGCCCACTCTACTTGGCATGGGCGCCACCAACTTCACTGTTCTTGGAATCTCTTCGACTTGCCAGGGCCTACGCCATTCACATTCAGGCAGGGACTCGGTCTGCCATGCGCGTGAGATCGCTTCATCATCCTGCTGGTTGGACAGTACCAGCCAACAGCTGGGGTCCAAACACAGTTCAAACTGTCAAAACAATTCTCCAACCATGTCGAAACTCCTTCCTCTCCTTCCTGCTTTGGGTGTTGCTGGGCCCTTCCCCATCCTTCTTCCTGCATGCCCTTGACAGCTGACAGCCGTGATAGGTATCCGAACCCAGGAAATTCTCCTGCGTCACTGCGAACGTTTGTTGGCGCTCCTCGTCGGAACAATGACAGCTGAGTTCGACTGATCCAAGAAAGTATGAGGGGAATGTGCTTGGGTTGTTTGTCAAGGGACCGAACACCTTCTTATGTTTTACAAAACAACGTTTCAACTCGTCATTGGTCCAGTCGGCCCTTTGGGCACTAAGGCGTTGGGCCAACAGTTTGAGAGCGAGAAGTGGAGCTTTGGCTAAGAAACCCATGGAAGACACAGGTGTTTTTGGCACGGGTGTTATTCAGAACAGTTCAAGTCGTAGCTCCGCCTTGCACAGTAGAGCTGTGTGACACGGTGTCAGATTCCTTCGCACTTTCAACACGTGGTCGACGGCGCCAAGATAAAGACTTGGCACCGTTTAGGCGACGTGCGATGTACAGGCCAATAGGCCAACATGGGTCCATATTTAGGGCCTATCAGGACAGCCAGGGCCGGCTGTTGACATTGCCACAAATTCAAAAGGCAGAGGTATGAAAAGCGTGTGCGACTGCAGCGTGGCCGCATGAAGCGCAAGGTCAGAAACAACTCAAATAAACTCGAGAAAGGACAGAAAGGAAAAGAAGACAAAGACAGCCTTGCACCGCCCGCCTTGGTGTTTTGGTGGCAGTTTGTTAGCGGCCCAGAGGTCGGGCATGGGTTTCAATCTTTGGATGATTAATGATGATTAGATTGTTGCATTCTAAAGCCCAAGCTAGCAAAGACCCGATATTTGCAGCCTGAACATGCTGAAGTCATGGACATCAGTTCCGAGGCACTGCGTTTGCAACTTCTTCGAGTGCACACATAGCCCAACCAACCACGCATGTCCCACTTGAGAAGTAGCACACGGCAGTTCTTGTCATTTAGTTGGAATGCATCACTACGCGCTCGTGCCACGATACAGGACAGGCGAAAAAAACGTTTTTGCGGCTTACGTTTTGCAGACTTTCGGGATACTTTTAGGATATTATCCGTTCTTCTTCACTCCCTGCTCTTCTCCTTTTTCGCGGCACACCCTGAGCTTCTTTGAGCTGGCGACCGCACACATACACAGACCGACGCAGAAAGCGCGCGCGGTGCGTGGATCAGGAGCCGGAGCAGAGGGCGCGCTGAGCAACACCGACTGCATTTTGTGGCAGACAATCTGGGAAAGCGGACAGCGAAAGGACATGTTTCGAATCGGCCTACAGAAAAAGAGCATGAAACGATTGAACAGAAGAAAACAAAAACAAAAGGAGAACAAATTGGAAGGCCTGGAAGGCCCTTGTTGGCTTTGTTTGCTGAGGTTGTGGTTCTTTTTTTCTCGTTGAATGCTGAGGTATCCTCCAAGCTACGGCCCAGGATACCCACCTCCAGGCTACGCACCTCCACCTCCAGCATCTTACCCTCCTCCGGGCTATCCACCTGAGAGGCACCCGCCAACTTATCCTCAATATGCTCCGCCACCAGACCCTTATGCAGTGCCTCCGCGTGACCCATATGCGCAGCCAAGGGATCCATATGCCCCACCACCACACGACCCCTACGCCCCACCACCACACGACCCCTATGCTCCGCCACCTCATGATCCTTATGCTCCGCCAAGAGATCCATATGCCCCTCCCCCTCCCAGCCGGTCACCAGGCTACCCACCACCCGGCTATCCACCGGCATATCCATATGCAGAGTATCCGCCACCTGCACCGGCGTATCCTCCCCATGGACCCCACGGGCCGCCACCAGGCTACCCTCCACCACACCACGGGCCCCCAGCGCCGCCGCACGGGCACCCGCCATATGCCTGTCCGCCAAACTACTATCCACCTCACCATCCTCACCCACCACACTACAGAACTCCCATGCCCGGGTACGGAGCATTGCGACCCAGGAGTCGCTCACCCAATCGTGCCTTGACATCTAGACGGAATTTGCCAATTGGTTTGAATTTTGAATCGACATGTTGATACATTTTGGTCCTGAGGCCGACTGATCCGAAGAATGATGATCAAGCGGCCAGAGAGGAAGGCGAAAGCAAAACCTAAGGCCAAAGCAAAACCTGAAAAGAAGGCGTGGAAGTAGTAACAGGGGCATCGCTACTAGTAGCTAAGGGCATTGCTACTAGTAGAAAGAACCTACTATATACTAATTTTTCACTTGGCACATGTTTGAATTCTGATTGCGTAAGGGAGCAGTCTATCTACTATAGAGAAGCCAAAACTGCAGCTCTAGATGGTTGACATGCCCGCGACAATGCGACGTCAAAACTTTACCAAATACTGTACCCACGAACTGTTTGGAACCTAGAATCGAAGTCTCGTGACGACTCAGAACCTTTCTAAGAAATGCCAAGACAGAGTATAGATCTACATACATGTACATACAATATATCATGCTACTGGGAACCCAAGTCTGCCGGAATTTGTGAGACACTGGAACTGTTGCTTCCTATTTTCCTTCTAGTGTTTGTTGATGACTTCATCATCGGAAGCCATAGGGGAGCGTCAATATCAAGTTCAAATAAGGGGGTTACCGAGTCCAATGACGATCGTTTCTTGTTCATCCATGTTCATTCGCGCTCGCAGCCGCTGCTTCAATATTGGTGGCCTTGAAGAAAGGTTGAAGACAGATTGAAGAAATCATCTTTTTTTGACCGTTTCCTTTGCAAGTGAGCTTTTGGACTTCTCAGGATACATCCCGAAGGTATTTCAACCTTTACTCTGAGTCAAGTGATCCGGCACTTGGCTCAAAGACCCAACCTGAGCACGACCCGCAGTTTTGGGTTCGCACCGAGCAGGCGGAGAAAGCCGGCGACCTGACGCCTCGGGAGCTCTCCGACATCAAGGAGGCCGAGGCCAAGGCCAAACGTGAAGCTCATCCCGAGGCGATGGGGATCCTGTCGGTAGAAAAACACCGAAGTAAAACAGATGTAAAACATATATTTAATATATATATATATAAATACAAACACTATTTTTTCATATACCGAGTATATATCCTCAGTTTTGAGGGGTTTGTGGGGGGGGCCGTTGTCGATCTCGAGTCTCGAGGAAACAGGACATACTAGGACCCAGGACATTTGGCGTGTACTGGATAAGATTTCATATGATTCAGATCAGAAGGCCGAGGTTTCAGAACATGTTCCTATTTCATCCTTCCTTTCTTGGTTCGAGCCGAGATCGAGGCAACACGAGAAGAGAAACCTCTTCAGCTCTTGGTGGAAAGGGCATCAAACCCAAAGAGCTGGATCCCTTGCATCGAAGATAAACATTTGCGTTCTTGGAGCCTTGGAGAGCCGTCCGCCCGTTTCGAGAGTCAAAAGGACATCATGTATTCGTACGTAGTGTCCTAGTAGCGTCCGATCGCTCCGTTCGTAGCGATGCCCTTTGTTACTACTAGATTCTTGTTCCTAGTATTAATGCCAGGAGCTGCAAGTAAAACACATTTCATGACTCACTTTTTTTGAGGATGTACATGAGCCAAGAGAAAGGCGTGAGCTATGCTGACTTTGAGCAGCTCAAGGAGAAGGTCGAATGGACCGAAATCCATGGGGCTGCCGCCCTCACTCGGAAGACCATGTGGTTTGTAAAGAAGGGCTGCAGGCTGGGAAGTGTGGGTGAAGTGTGTGGGAAGTGTGGGAAGTATGCGGGTTGTGTGAAGAATTGTGACACTTTTACCCGCGGTGTTTGGCCTAACTGGCAGGTGCCCATACAGCTATGGGAAGCAGCAAGTCAGTGCAGTGACCTTCCCTGATTGGTTCCTGGATATGGCAAAGCGTTGGCTTAACTCTTTGAATCTCAACGATCAGGATTGCCATGGATTGCCTCCTTTACTAGTAGTAACAAGAAGCTATTAGATTGCCTCCTAGCTTCTAATTAATTTATATGCCTCCTTTACTACTAGCGAACATTGTTACTAGTAGCGGGATGCACTTGTTACTACTGGTAAGGCACTTGTTCCTAGAAGCGAAGAGTTGAGCTTTGCTGTTTTTTGTCGCGATGGCTAGGACAAAGACTCCACGTTTCCAAACTGTGTGAACCTGAACCTCTACGAGCATGGCGATCATCAGGTAGCTTGGCACTCCGACGATGAGCCATTATTCCGTGGCAAGTTTCAGGACAGGTTTATCGGGAGCATCGAGAAACTGAGCGCAAGATCATCAAGACATGTTAAGAGGCATTGAGGCTTGCAACTTTCATGGCTTGCCTCGAAAATCGCACACTCCGTGGCGCTTACCCACTAAAATGCTGCTCATTTACAGCCACTGCTGGTTATCACGGGTGCTTATGCATGTTTATGCTATACGTGTTCGCACCTGCGAAATAGAACATGCCGCCCGTGTCTGACCATCTCATTCGGTCACAGTATCAGGACACGCGGATCATCTCGGTGACCTTGGGTGCGATGCGGAAGTTTCAGGTCGGTCTCAAGGCCCCAAGACGAGGTCGGAGAGAGTTTGCGTTTCTTTTCGAAAACGGATGTCGGAGAGACACGGAGTATGTTGCTGCTTGTAGTTTATTTTCTTCTTTCGCTTCTAGCTGGTGCACGCAGGCGGGATATTGAAGCCAGAAAAGGGAAGTATGGCCACCTTCAACCTTGGACATGGGCAAGTTTGTACTATGGAAGGACCAGCCAGCCAGTCAATGAGAGCTTTTCGTGCTTGCGCCATCTTGTGCCAGTTCATGAATATGAACGCTAACAAACATTGGCATGTAACGTGCACGTTTTTTATATGTGTGCGTAAGGCTATAGAGATGTTCAAGTCAAAGCGGCTGACCTTAGATGTCCCAATGTGGTTGGTAGGCCTTTTCCAGAAGCACTACTTGCATCAGATCGCCAAGGGAACTACTCGGCAGGCGCGTATCAACGCGACCTTCCGCAACATTGTGGAGCATGCCGCTGGTTGCCCCTTGCGCTGAGACAAAAGATCCAGCTCGCAAATCGCGTGAAGCTTTGAGCTTTGACTGTAGATGGGACAGTCTCCCAACTGCACGACATTGCGTGGCCGAGAAGGGATGCTCGAAGCTTTTTGCAATTGCGGCTCCCCAGTGGCACTGCCACGTGGCGCAAGCGCTTGCACTCATCGAATCCGATGACATCCAATGACTTGATGTTTCCAAAGCGCAGAGCGTAGGTTCCAACGGTCGGAGGCGAGCGCGAAAAGATGAGTGAGATTGGTCACGTAGATTCGTTGGCGCAGTGGCGCAGTGGCGCAGCCATGCACCAAGCGCCTAACAGGTGTCTCAGATCTAATATTGATGCTACGCGCCATCACAACTAAGGCGCTTTGTCAAAGAACTGAAGCGAGACCAAAAACATCAACGAGCACATGCAGCTCCTTGACGACACAACATGTTGTAATTAGATCAATGTGACACGAAATTCTATGGTCCTAATGGATCCTTTGTCCTAGACGACGCTACTAGGAGCAAAGGGCATCGCTATTAGGAACAAGGACGCTACTAGGCGCTCCTGGCCTTACTACTAGGAACAAGGACGCTACTAGGAGTTTTTTCCTTTGTCCTTTCCGCTCGACTCGTTTCTTTGCGCTTTCCAGGCGGTTGAAGTGGCTTTGGCACAGTGGGAGAAAGGTGAATCCAAAGGCCTCATGGCCGGGTGCTTGGCGCATTTGACTCGGGATGCTTTTGAACGGACAAGATGAGGTTTAGATCAAACTTTACGTGGCTTCTATAATATTCTATACGGCAAGCTTCTATATTCTCAATGTTTTGCACTGGGCTTTCTGAGGCAACCGTGGTCAAAGATTGGCGCAAGTACACGGAGGCGACTGACTCCGAGGTTTCAAGAGGTTTCAACGCACCGCCGCCGAGTGTCAATTCAAGTACTGTAGATCCTACTAGGAACAAGAAGCTACTAGTAGCGATGCCCTTGTTAGATCCAAAGGTGTGACCCCGATGGATTGATTGAGGTCACCACCTCCAATGGGCGTCGCATCCGCGGTGCGGGGAAGCTCGAAGCAAACGCAAAACATGTCGAAACATGTCGGCCCTCAGAATTGAGTTCATGTTCTTAAGGGAAAGAAAGGCCCGTTGAGTTTGTACGACACTCAGGCAGGAACTTTGGAGGACCTTGAGCCTTCAACTTCCGTGAGTGCTTGACTTCGCTCATAGTCATAGCTTCTCTGGAATGGATTCTACGGACATCTGCGGATTCTTTTGCCATGGTATTGGTATTTGGTTTGTCATATTGGACACGAATTCAAGGAGAAACTCCTCCTTTCACTCCTGCAGCTGTGCCTTCACGGCTGGCTCCTGAGACGATGGGCGTGGTGAGTGCATAGAGACAGGTAAAGATGAGAGATTGGGAACCTTGGAGCCTCTTGGGGCCAAACAGATAACTTTTGGAAACATCAACAAGGCCTTGTTTGAGCGTGACCGTTCTAAGGCTGGCGAAAGATCTTGGAAGTTGAACGTGCCATGGAGCGCTCCAAGGTTCGCGACGTGTTTGCTTTGTAACCATGGTTGACCGTGTTTGCTTATGTTTCAATGTTCAATTGTTTGCCTGTTTGACCGTTTTTGCTGATCCTTCTTGCACAAAAATCAGAGTGAAAGCATGCTTATCAGCACAGGCGGTAACAAGGGCAAGTACAAAACGCAAAACCTTTTGCAGGACTCTTGATTTGGAGGCCATCGCTAGTAGGTTGGAGGCCATCGCTCTTAGGTTGGAGGCCATTGCTAGAAGGTTCTTGAGACGTTTTCGACTTGGTATAACCTGCGGACTACAAGTGCCACGCTAGTAGTAACAAGTGCCTTACTAGTAGTAACAAGAAGCTACTAGAAACAAGTGCCTTACTAGTAGTAACAATAAGAATTTAATTAGGTTGTCGCTTTGGCTGACTTTCTCAATCTACACCTGCGCGATGCACAGAAGGCACTGCGTGAAAGCTTGCGGCAGCAGAGGTCTGATCACAAATGAAAGTGACATGAAAGTGAGTTGGCACTTGTTACTAATAGCAAGCATTGTTACTACTAGTAAGGCACTTGTTACTAGTAGCGTGGCACTTGTTACTAATAGTTTCTTGTTACTAATAGCAAACATTGTTACTACTAGTAAGGCACTTGTTACTAGTAGCGATGCACTTGTTTCTAAGCAAAGAAAGCCATAAAAGGTTTTTTTTATGCAGAGATCTAGCCATGAAAGTTTGCCAATCATCGTGCAGGGAGGAGCGGGAACAGACCGAGAACAACCTGTTGTTGAACTTGGCACGGACCTCAGACTGGCGTTTCCATTGGAGCTTGCCTTCCAGGTGATGTTTCTTTCAATTCCCAAATTGGCACCTTCACTTGATTGGAAAACCAATCACCCACCTTAAAGAATAATATCCCCCCTTGTTTTGCCGACTGGGAGCGCATCTTTTTCAGAGATGGTTGGAGAACCAACCTTCTCAGAGAAGAGGGCTAAGAGGTATGTACACTGGTCATGACAATGGAGGATCAAGGCCTTGAGGCACCTCACCCTGACTTCTTCTGTCCTAATTAAGAATTCATTCTGCTAGACGCTGAGTCTGCTTACAGACGCTTCGCGTATCGTGAAATGAAATGAAACCTTCAAACGCCTTCATTGTGGTTGCATGTTTGGTCTTTTTTCCAATCACAAATCAGAAGAGGAGTGGAGCCGATGTAAAACTGATGTGCAACCGATGGAGCGGTAGTAAGGGATTGTGCCACACCAAGCTCCGCTGGAGGCGATGGCCGTGTGGCAGCTGTGCGTGATGGAGCCCAAGAAAGACCAGGTTCACCCTGTGTCGCATGGCGCGTGGCGACCGCGACCAGACGCATTTTGAGTCGACTTGACGGCAGGTTTTCTAAAAATGGAAGTTCCCATTTGCTCCTGCCTTCACTCCTGCAGGCCTTCCAGCAACTCACAGAAACCAATGCCATCGCCTTCCAGCTCCAGGAAGCCTGCCAGGTCTACTCGCAGGAGCAGCACATGACCAACCTTGAACGATTACTTTGCATAGCTGTTATGTTTGCATAGCTGTTTTGTTTTCCTGCAGAATGCCGCATTGACACGTGGCACTGAGGAGAATGAGACACTTCAGGAGCGCTTGAAGCAGGTCCAAACGCTTGTTTAGCTTCTGCATTTGCAGTGCATTCACTTACCTTTCTCGTTTTGTCTACTGTTTTGGGTCTAGAAGGACTGGACTGGGACTCGGTTTTGCAATGAGGGTGTCGTCACTCTCATTATGTGTATACAAAGTCGAATGTGCCGACAATGCCAACGGCTCCAGGTCATGGAAACTCTTCAGCGTGAGCTGCAAACAAAGGAGGAGAAGTGGAGCATCGAGCAACGGGTTTGGCTTTGCACATCACGAAAGCGGGATGAGCTTTGTGCCCTAAAGCTTGATATATCACGCTTAGGCCCCGCGGGGACACATGGGAGATCCTGTTGTGAAAACTACCTGACTTCAGATGATGCATATGATATGCATATGTCATCCTTGACCCAAGAAACATGAAATAATATTGAAACGAAGGTGTCCGTCAGAGGTCCTTCTTGCGTGGTTTGAGAAGGTTTTTCAGACACCTGCTTCAAGACGCCGATGTATATATATATACACAAACCCCACAGTGTTGATCTGGTGCTGCTGGTTTGCTGCTGGTGTGCTGTTTGATTGCTGACGTACTATATTTTGCTGGTTTTGCTTGCTGGAAGCAAGCTTAGGGCAATGCGTTGCGGACTTTGGTCGCAGTAATTATGTGCTGCTGCTGGTGTTCCCGGTCTACTTACTGCTGATCTGCTGGTGCTTTGCTGCTGATCCGCTGCTGTTGTGCTTGCGTTTGACTGTATCGCGGCTAGCTTTCGACCCCTTCCCCTGGCCTCAAGTACATATTTTCTCATTTATTTGTTCAATACTGGTACAGGGTCGGCCAAGACCTCTAGAGCCAGCTGGCCTGAATGCAATGAGTTTGCTCAGGAGCTGGCCAAAGAGCTTCGTGACGCTTACAGCAAGCAGGAGCCGAGAGCGGCCCGGAGCCGCTGAAAGCTATTCAGCTGAGTGGCTGGAGAGCTGAGAACAAGTCTGACCGACCCTGTTTTACATAAAGTTTGCTGTTTGCAGATGTCAAAGAAGCCGAAACATGGTAGCACTTTGTGTATTTTGCGTTCGCCTACTCGTTTAAGAGGGACATAGGGAAATCCACGTATCTCTTTGAATCCACGACTCGCTCCATGCAGGCTCGGCTTTCGCCTATGCTCCCTGAGTTGCCGCTCGGAATTGATTAGCTCACGCTTTTACATCTGCACCACTACCAACCTACAATTTAAATTTGCTATGCTTTTGTGATTTTCGCCTGCATGTTTGTGAGTTGCTATGCCCAGCACGCGAGGCCTGAAGGAATTGTTGGGACCTTAGGAATCACAACATGCTGGCAAACGCACTGGGCACAACCAGCTTCGACTAGCCTAACTTGAAATTCTTCCCAGTCTTTATCTGATAGACTTCTACTTCGACTTGCTGATAGTCCAAGAGACTTTGAGAGACTGGACTTGCTCAATTTGTATCCATTCTCTGTGCACTCATTCTCATCATTTGTCGTTGCTTGACCCCATCGAGGTGCAAAACCGGGGCGCAGCATCACATGCTCAAGCCCTTGAAGATGTCGCTGCTTCGGTTGCCTCCGGAAAGAAGAAAAGTAAGGCTTTGCGCATGGTGCATAAAGTGCATCTGCTGTTTGCTGTTTTCAGTATCAAGCCCTTTCTGGAATTCTGTGTTTTCTTAGTTTTCTCATTGTCGAAAGTGTCATTTTGGGACGTGTTTGTGTCTTCAGGCGTCACCGCGAGGGACGCCCCGCAACGGACTCAGTGAGTGGCGAAAGACGTCGAAGGACAAAGCCGCTCAAATTTTGAGAAAGAAGATCTTAGCGATGCCCTTGGTTCCTAGTAGCGATGCCAGGAGCCCCTAGTAGCGTCCTTTGCTCCTAGTAGCGATGCCCTTTCTACATGAAGTGGCTTTCGCATGCTTTCGCCAAGGCCGCTCCAACGGCATAGGGCCACGAGACTCAGAGGGAATGTTGGTCCGACAACAGTCAACGACCACTGGTGGGACAATGGGAGGGTAAATAATTATGTAGTAAATTGTAGTGATCAATCAGGGTGTGTAAAGAGCGTTGAGAGAGGCCGGGATTCGTTGATTTTGACGTCAACGCGATGAATCCTTCAACTGGGCCCCTTGGGTCCCTCTCGACGTGTCACGACCCGTTTGTCTGTTCGAGACACTGCGACTGGGACACGGCTGTGCCACGGATGGAGGAGATGTATGGAGCCCCAGTGCGAGTCGGCTCCAAGAGAAAGGCCGACCACCCCCTCTTCACTGAATTATATAAGTAGGGCGCAGGATAGCTCCTTGAAGAAGCGCTCACACTGATGATTTGGTTCCTAGATTTTTGGCGAGGTCTGACAGTCTGACAAGGCTTTGGCTAATGAAAGATTACCTACTAGCGATGGCCTCCACCCTACTACCGATGGCCTCCAACCTTCTTTTAAACAGAACGATCTTTCCAAGGAAGTGTAACTACAGGAGGGTCCATGCCGAGAGCACGACGCATCCGCTGTCACTCGTGCAACCTGACAAGGCCAAGGCTTTGGCTCAAAATTTGCCTGCTAGCGCGCCTACCAGCCCAGATGACACATATTGATACATATGGTATTTGCTCTTCAACATGCACAGGCACATAATTCAAGACGGTTTCCAATACACTATATGTCGAACCATCAACACCGCAAGTGGGGCTAGAAGATAATGAGATGCCGGCGAATCTTCAAGACCTTTGATCAAAGCTCGCAAACACGTTTTCTAGCGTCTTGCTGATCTGTGGCGTGAAGCATGGTGAGACATGAGACATGTTTGCGCTACGAGCTTGCAGCTCAAGCCTTGACCTTGAGAGCGAATCTCAGGCAGAATGTTCCTTTTCTGTCGCTTCTCCGCTGCTAAAACTCACTAGGGGCTCCTGCCCCTACTACTAGGAGCAAGGACGCTACTAGGGGCTCCTGGCCTTACTACTAGGAGCAAGGACGCTACTAGGGGCTCAGGACGCTACTAGGGGCTCCTGGCATTGCTACTAGGAGCAAGGACGCTACTGGAGGCTCCTGGCCTTACTACTTCCTGGCCTTACTACTAGGAGCAAGGACGCTACTAGGCATACTAGGCATAGTGTGCCCCACTCGAACTCGAACTGGTTCCCCCCCCCAGGGTGTCAACATTTTCATCGATTCGAGTTCGAATTCGAACTAATGCTACGTTGTAATGGCTCCTTCCTATTCTAAATTTCACCCTCGAATGGCCCACAACAGGAATGCTACGTTGTAATGGCTCCTTCCTATTCTAAATTTCACCCTCGAATGGCCCACAACAGGAATGCTACGTTGTAGTGGCTCCTTCCTGCTCTAAATTTTACCCTCGGGTGGCCCACAAAGGTTGGGGGGGGCGCAGCGCCCCCTCCAGCAGCACACCAGGTCCCAATAAAACAAGTGTTAGCTGCAAAGATGAGACTGCGCAGCGCGGATACTTTCAACAGGTTGATTGCTTTGTTGCTAGCTTGGTTGGTTCCTGTGCTTCTTTGTTGTGGGTCGTGGCGATTGCTGTTGTGGTTGTTGTCGTTGCTGTTGGTTCTCGTTGCTGTTGTTGTGGGTCGATCCGAACTCGAACCCCCTTATAATTATAAGTCCCTTAGTCGCCGATCTGAACTCGAACTCGAACTGGTCCACCCCCCTCTCGCTCGATCCACGCAATCTTGCGCATCGAACTCGATCCCGAACTCGACTCCCGAACTCGAACGGGATCCGTTAGAACCACCTGGGGCACGGCCTGCTACTAGGGCTGGCATCGCTACTAGGAGCGAGCACGCTACTAGGGGCTCCTGGCCTGACTACTGGGAGCACGGACGCTACTACGGGCTCCTGGCATCGCTACTAGGAACAAGGACGCTACTAAACTCACATTACATTGATTTGTTTGTTGTGGATGCACAACTCTCTGATGCTCTGCGCAGGAGGAGAGCCAGAACTGCCGGAGTCAAGCGGCAGGGCCAGGCAAGGAGAGACAAGGAGACAAGAGGTACTCGTATGAGGAGAAATGAGGAAAATGAAGAAATGAATAGGGGTGCCCTCCAACCTACTAGCGATGGAATTCATGATGAAATCAATGGAAGTGACGCTACTTCTTCCTTGAAGTCGTACCTCGTGCAAGATGACCTCCTCGGTGAGTAAGCCAGAAAGCACTGTATTCCGATCATGTCCGTTCCAATCGGAAGTATACAGTAGCACTGTCAGGATGTCAGAGGTGCCACGAAATGCTCCCGCTTGAACTTTTAAGAGCACAAGCATAGTGCTGTCAACAGCTGTGGCTGCTTTCTCCAGCGAAGGCTCCAAGACAGCCCGTGGACGTGCTCAAAATGACAAGGCAAGGCGAGAAAGGGTAAAGGATCTCTTGGATCAAAGCTTTGGCAAGAAAGATTTAAACTCGCACCAATCAAGAAAGTTCCACCTGCCCTCTTTTCGCGTGGTTTCATCATGGGACAAGGAAGGTTTGGTCGACATGAGCAGGACGAGCAATGTACTAGGTACGGATGGATGAAGTAAAACGGAGGCCCCGCTATCCGCTGATCAATGCCAATATCAAACAGCCTGGCATTTATAGGACCGCCTTTCTCGTAGCTTGTTAGAGGTGACCAACGTTGAAGCTGAGGTGCTCGCTGGATGGTGTGCCATGTGCCCCGAGAAGTCTGCTTTGGGCTTTGAGTTGAGTTGTGCTAACTTGGGCGCCACGACCGGCAGTCGTTCCTTGGTGACGATGGGAACGGCGAGTTGATCAAGTCTAAGGCTAAAGTTCACATACATGTTAAACATTGTTAAACAATTTTAAACAAGGAGCACTCGTACTACTAGTAACCAGAAGCTACTAGGGATGTTAAACAGAACTTGTTTTTATTTTGCCTTCCTTGCATTCCGATGCGATTCGACGATCGAGGTGTGCGGCTGCGTTGCGGCATCGTCCTTTTGCTGCAAGGACGAGAAGAGCTGTGCCCGGCTTTTGTAATTCTTGCGCTGGAAACCGGAAATTGACGCAGACCGGAATCCCAGAATAAGATCCAAAAGAGAGAAGAAATTCAAATTCCAAGATGAAGATGGGCTAGGTTCAGGTTTTCGGCAAAAACAACTCCTGAAAAAGGGGGTTGACAAAGGAAAGGAAGAGTAAAAGGAACGTAAGAGTCCTAGGTCGTGTAGACCCTGGCTATGGCAAATAGTCAGTACATGATTTGGACAGACTTCCTGTTGATATGACTTTTCTGATCCCTCTTGTCATTTCGCTGCAGGAGCTGCCAAGATTTTAAGTGCAACGTGTGTCCTGTGCCACCTTTGGGTCACCACAAGGTTGTAAAGGCTATGTGTGCCCCCGAGGTCGAGCTGCGCTGTAGGTCCAGCGGATCACGACGCGTTGCTGTTGCTGTTGCTGTTGCTGCTGCTGCTGCTGCTGCTGGTGCTGGTGCTGGTGCTGGTGATGGTGATGGTGGCGGTAGAAACAAAAACAGCCGCCCAACATCATTGTCACATGTTGTAACTTTGGAACTTCAAGGGAGCAAGGTTAGGGACACGGGTGAAGGTTTGAGCGAATGTTGGTTTATGTTGGTTTCGTAAGTAGGTGGACTTGTTTCACTGAAGTCTGGTTTTTGTTTCTAGGATGTGGTAGAGGTTCTAAGTAGAAGTTTTACAGATGCTTAGCTGACCGGTCGCCACTACTACTACTACTACTCCTCCTCCTCCTCCACCCTCCTCCTCCTCCTCCTACTACTACTACTACTACTAACTACTACTAACTACTACTAACTACTACCCCTACTGCTACTGCCACTGCTACTGCTACTCCTACTACTACCACTACAACTACTACGACCACCACTACCACTACTACTACCACTGGTATTACTAGGCTACTACTACTGCTACTGCTAGTACTACTTCTCCTACTGCTACTACTACTACTACTATCATCACCACAACAACGACTACTACTAGTACCAGTACCAGTAGTTCTAGCACTAGCACAAGCACTACCACTACTGGTAAAAGTACTTGTTGGCTGGTTGTTCTCCGGGGGAGGTCTAAAAATCAACAACAGGGCTGCAGATTTTGTTTCCACCCCCTTGTAGAGACAAAGGGCCAAGATATGTTGTAACGGGGCTGCGGTTTTTGCTTGTACCTTGGTGTTGGTGGTCGTGGTGTTGCTCTTGTTTTTGTTCTTGTTCTTGTTGTTGTGGCACAGTCGAGCACACATGCACGGTGCCGACGCCAGAATTCGGAGAGGAAGTTATCTCTCTCTCTCTCTCTCGCGAGTTTGTTTTGCACCTTCTCGATTCCCAATTGAAATTCAGGGCACAACCGAAGATACCCAAGCGTGCTACAAAAGACAAACATTTGTTTGCAAATGGCACAGTCGTTGTTTCTATGCGGAGGGTGGTCCAAGCCCAAAGGCCTTTCGAAAGGCTCTTGAGTTTCATTTGCCGCGGGATGGCATGAATATATAAGTGGGACACATTCGCTATCAACGCTGTCGCTCTCTTTCTCTCAATACCTCAATGGTCAATGTTTTTGCACTTGGCTCTATTTATGAGAAGACAGTGTCAGTGGCTGGAGCTGCAGCTGAAGTTGCTTGATCCACTGTGAGGAGATGTCCCGCCTATGACCACACACCAGGCATTGATACACCGAGAGTGCTGTTATAGATCTCAGTGTGAGGTGAGAAGGAATGCACGGTCTGTGGGTAGGACAATGTTGGAAAATCGAGTTTCAGATTGGCCTGCTGGGCCTGTCTACAGACGTTTGCAAAATTCATGGCCAGTGCGAGGCTGTGGCATCAGCCGCGGCCCTGCTACGAGAAAATGACCCTGTGAGAGCCGCCAAGGCACTGAACCACGCTGCACCGTTAACTGCAACTCAGACCAAATTGAAGGTTTCAAGGATAAGAGTAAGAGAATGTAAGAGACTTGGCTTGGATCAGGTTTCTGGTCTTCAATCTCAATCGGGTTTGTTTGCTTGGAAGCGGCGGACGGAAGCAGCTCAGGTACATCTCATGGTGAAAGAGCACATCCGACTTTTGGACCGAGATGCCAGGTGGCAATTTCAAGCCATGAATTTCAATCGTGTGTGTTCTGCTTGGGCTTTCTGTAACTTGTGGTCAAGCACTGCAAGCTGGAAGCTTTCAAGTGGAGCTTAATCCTAGGATGCGGATGTGAGCAAGAAGATTCGAAGAGAAGTAGAGGCAATGCGGGTGTACGTTGCTTTATCGATTGCAAATCCACTATGTGTTCTTTTTGTTGTGATGTTTTGATGTTTGTGTTTCTCATGACGATGTCACTCTTTTTTTT